GTTTTCGTTGGAGTAAAATAAAACTTGTTGAGTTTAGTGCTAATGACGATTATTAACAACTGCTTTGTCCGGATTCAAATGGACGCTCCCTTGTGGACTTTTTTATCTTGTTTGGTGTGTGGTCTGTCCTTAATACTTAAAAGACTTGAAAACTTAGAGCTTATCGGTTTTGAATATATAATAAGTACTACTTTATTAGCGAGAGTTATAAGAAAGGATAAAGTGATAAATTTTTTTTAAAAAAATTTATTGATGTTATAAAATACACTTTTTACTTCACATAAAAATATAAACAAAATAAATATGAAATAAATTTTAAAATATTATAAATAAGATGATTCCAAAAGCCTCTTAGTTAGCCAGGATATTTGATGTTATTATCTTTATTTATTTTGCTTTAACATATCATTGATATATCATCAAAAAATTATTTTGACCGGGCACGAATCTCGAGGCAAAATCATACTGGAAACTTCAAAAATTAAATACGGGATCACCTGAACTCTGATTTCAGCAAACTTACACTCAAACTGAGCGTCTCGGAAATACGAACTCAACGAAACCAAATTCGACTCAATCCGAGCCCAAATGAGACCAAATCATCACCCGAAGCGCTATTGGAAAGTTCAAATCACAATCTGAGTTACCAAATAGTTTCCAAATATGAGGAATCGAGCGGCTCGATGAGACGAATCCAACGAGTCCAAGATCGCCAAATTCCAACATCATTAAGACCTTCAAATGTCTGACGAACAGTACACGATCAAGGGATTCAATATCGGTCGTCCATCCGAATCACTCTACATTTGCCCCTGATCTCTCACCTATTTACGAGCCATGTCACTCCAAAAATCTATAAATAGACCCCTCATTTCTCTTTAGAAGGGGGCTCAAGCAAGAAGAAGAGAATAAGATGAAAAGGATGGGAGGGAAGAAACTCTTCATCGACCATCGCCGGAATTCTGTTCGACGCCCAAGTGACGTCAGAATTCTGCCCATGCGACTCTGGAATTTCGCCCAACTTCCACGGGACGCCGGAATTCCGCCCGATCTCCAAGAGACTGTGGAGTTTTGTCCGAATATCATCTAACGGCTGAGTTCTCCCCGCCCGCCGACAGACGTCGGACTTCTACCCGATGCCGGACCTCAGCTCGTCACCAGATTTCTACCCGAGACCAGACTTCTGCCCGTTTTTGGACTTTTGCCGAACATCTATCCGGTGCTGGATTTTTGTTCATTGATGGACTTCTACCTGACGTCCTCCTTCTAACCTCTGTCATCAGACAACGGTCCTTACGACCTCCGTTGCCTGCCGACTATACGGTCCTTCTAACTTTCGTCACCCACCAACTACAGTCCTTCCGACCTCCATCGCCCGCCGACTACGATCCTTCTGACTTATGTCGTCCACTGACTACAGTCCTTCCGACCTCCGTCGCCGGCCAACTACAGTCCTTCCGACTTACGTCGCCCACCGACTACGATCCTTTCGACATCCATTGCCCGTCGACTACGGTCCTTCTGACTTACGTCGCCCACCTACTGTAAAGACCATGTTTCCTCCCAAGTTCGTCCGGACGAAGTTTGATTGTCCGGGACGATCGGTACAGGTTGTGCAGGAAAACAGTTATGGATGTATGGTTTGTTTGGACGAAAATAGGATCGTCTGGACGAAATTCTTACCGAGGGCAAGTCGTACGGGACGATAATTAATTTCTTCTGGACGAAATCCGTCCAAAGCCCAAGTCGTCATGACGATAATTAATTTTCGTCTAGACGAAATTCGTCCAGAGCACCAAATCGTCCGGGATGAAGTTGCGATCGTCCGGGACGATCAGTCTTCATATATATGGAAATGAGATATTTTTGGAAAGAACAGTATGTCCAGGAGAGAGAAAAATGAAGGAAAATAGGATGTTTGAGCGACTCCGGTCTGTTTTCGTCCTTTGTTGTAGTTAGAGAAGTTGACCGACTCGAGGTAAGGCACATTCCGCCTTTCTCAATTTTCAAAACTGTGGATTTTGACGACTTTTCTGTTCTGGATTTTGTTTCCGTTAGCGAATTTTGTGTGTTATTTTCTACTGCTTCAGGTTTTACCGCGTAACTTTTGATATGTTTCCGAGATGATGATTGTGCACGTTTTGAATATTTTCTAGAAGATTTTTATCATATATTTTGGATTCCGATGTGTTTTAATTGAACTGCAATTTATTAGGATGTTGAAAAATATTTTGTTAGTACAGTAAAAGTCTTATAATGTTGTTGTAGATGTTTTGTCGTAATTTGGTAAATTTCTGGATCTGTGAATTCTGTGAGGTGTTTTTTGTACGAATTCTGCTTTTTTCCTGAATTGTACATTGAATGAATTGATTAATTGTATGCTATCAGAAAGGAGTTATAAGGGGCCGGAATCCTATGTGATTCCGTTGTCTGGGTCCGGGAAGGGAGACATAAGGGGAAGTTCTGAAATCTAAAATTCTGTATATATGTTCTGTTCTGGTGCTATAAGCACAAAAGGGAGCTATAAGGGGAAGTTCTGGTGCTATAAGCACAAAAGGAGCTATAAGGGGAAGTTCTGGTGTTATATGCACAAAAGGGAGATCCGAATCACTCTACATTTGCCCCTGATCTATCACCTATTTACGTGCCATGATTTTCCAAAAATCTATAAATAGACCCCTAATTTCTCTTGAGAAGGGGGCCCAAGCAAAAGGAAGAGAATAAGAAGAAAAGGATAGGAGGGAAGAAACTCCTCATCGACCACCGCCGGAATTCTGCTCGACGCCCAAGTGACGTCAGAATTTTGCCCATGCGACTCTGGAATTCCGCCCAACTTCCACGGGACGCCGGAATTTCGCCCGATCTCCAAGAGACTGTGGAGTTTTGTCCGAATATCATCTAACGCCTGAGTTCTCCCCGCCCGCCGACTAACGTCGGACTTCTACCCGATGCCGGACCTCAGCTCGTCACCAGATTTCTACCCGACACCAGACTTCCGCCCATTTTTGGACTTTCGTCAGACATCTATCTGGTGCTGGATTTCTGTTCATTGATGGACTTCTACCTAACACTTTCCTTCTAACCTCTGTCGTCAGACAACGGTCCTTACGACCTCTGTTGCCCGCCGACTACGATCCTTCTAACTTACATCGCCCACCAACTACAGTCCTTCCGACCTCCGTCGCAGGCCATCTACAGTCCTTTCGACTTACGTCGTCCACCGACTACGATCCTTTCGACATCCATTGCCCGCCGACTACGGTCCTTCTGACTTACGTCGCCCACCTACTACAATCCGCCCGACCAAACAAATACATCAACAATGATTCTTTGTATTCACATTATGTAATGTACTCTATAAAATGTATATCATGCTAAGGCCTTCCCCCAAGGAAGAGACTCTTTTGTAATCGACTGCGAATAATAGTATATTCATTCAAATTGGGCTAGGCCATGTGGGTTTTCCACCTTTTTAGGGGTTTTCCACGTAAAAATCTTGGTCTCTCATAAATGCTACGCCCTCTCTCTTATCTTATTGCGTGCCGGATTTTCGTACAAAATTAAGAGGTTAAATTTTATATTTATCTACTGACGCGAATACTCGTGGACTCAACACTCATAAATAAGTTAAAATTAGTGTCCTACGGGCTTTATATTAGTGTAGGAAAGGAGAATTTTAATATTGCTTTTTATACCAGGAAAAAATAACTTAGTATATTATGATAAATTTTTTTATTAAAACAAATATCAAAATTATACGTGTGCATAAATTAATTATTTAAAAATATCATCAATATTTTTTTAATATGTATTTATAAATTTAAATGCTATTTATTTTGAGGGCGCATGTAATAAAAATATTATAAAATTTTGGAGGCACGTCCCCCTCGTGTCCCTCTCTATATTTGCTTTAATCTAATTTAATTTGAGATGATTATAATGTATTACTAATTTGTATATATTATATTCATCTCACAATAAATTTAATATTGTAAAATTAAAAGATATATCAAAATGTTCAGATCAAAACTTTCATAATTTTTGTAATATATTTTAATATGAGTGCAATATATAGATTAGTAATTATTGCGGATGGGAACATTCACATTGGTAGAGAGATATAGAGTTTAACGTCTAATTTTTGTACGAAAATTCATCACACAAACAAATAAGAGGGAGGGGCATGAGAATCAAAAGAGATACTGAGATTTTTATGTGAAAAATTTTAAAAAGGGGAAAAAATCATGGGACATGGCCCAGTTGAAATGATTTTACTAGTGTTTATTTTTTATTACAAATGAGGCCCTTCCATGGAGGGAAGGCCTTGGCTTTATGTAGTAAATACACATAATATAAATCACACAACATGATTGGAGTTGAAAAAATATAGTGATATGAGTGTTGTTCTCAATAGAGTGTGTGCTATTTTATTAAATAAATATTTATTTTATTAAATGCATATTTATATTCCAAATTAATTTATCAAGTAATATTTATTTTTGCTATAAAATTTATATGTAGGTCTAATTTGAAAATTTGATAAATATAAAGATATTATTAAAAATAAATATAAAATAAAATATAAGAGATAATTATAATATGTTTTTTAATGTAAGGAATGAAATTCGGTTAAAATTTAAATATTATTACATTTCAAATCTCAAGTGGAAAATGGAAAATGAGTTTTTCCGTTTGAAATGGCCTTTTAGCTTAAAATTTTTCCGTAAAAGATACGCCTACTGAAGTGGTTCTGTTACAAAATTGTCATATCATTCGTTCAACTAATTCTTTTGTTTTTTTGGGGGCAGATTATGGGATTCGAACTTGGGTGGGAGGGAGGAAGCAATAAACTTCCTCGCCACTCTGGATCCCGTTCAACTACTTCTGATCTCTTAACGAGACATGTCAACAGTAGAAGCCTATGGTTCATTTACACGTGGCGGCAGAAACGGCTATTACCTGTTTTAAAATTCAAATCACATATGAGGAGGCATTGACTGACATCTTTCTCATCCTTTCCTCCCCCTCCACAAAATCCTTCATCTCAATTTCAACCAGCTTCCGATCTGTTTCTCTCTGTCTCTATCTCTCTGTGAATCATCTTTCCTCGAACAAATCTATCCTTCTAATTCGAAAAGCTACTCCCTTTGCTTAAGCAATCAGAACCCTTCTTCTTCTTCTTCTTCTCTTCGAAATAGTTCTGATCAAGCCCATGTCGATCCCAAGAAGCACAGGAATGGATGCCCCTTTCTTTTATGAGTTCAAGAAGCAAGCTACGTTTTTTCTCAGAGAAAAGATCAAGCACGCTCGGTTGGCTCTCACTGATGTCACTCCTGCTGAGCTGTGAGTCCTTTCTTCTACATCTAGGAGGTTTTTCTCTTTTGTTTCTATGAATATTTTGAGTTCTGATTGGGTTTTGTAGACTGACGGAGGAAGCAACTAATGGAAATCCATGGGCGCCGGATGCAAAGTCGATGAGCTTCATCTCAAGATCAGCTTTTGAGATCGATGATTTCTGGAGAATAGTGGATATTCTGCATAGGAGGTTAGTAGGTTTTTTGTTTTTGACCGAGATTCAGTTTTTATTTTTATTTTTTCTAGAGTTTTGTGAGTTTTATACGCTATAAAACAGGCTGGCTAAGTTTGATTTGAAGCACTGGAGAGAATCATACAATGCTTTAGTACTTCTCGAGCATCTTCTGACTCATGGACCAGAAAGCGTTGCAGATGAATTCCTGTGTGATAGAGAAGTCATACAGAGATTGGGCAATTTCCAGCATATTGATGAGAGAGGGTGAGAAAAAAATATTTGATTTGAGTGAGATTAATGATTTTTTTAATCAGAAATTTTGATGAACAAGAGGTTTTGTTTCAGGTTTAATTGGGGATTGGCTGTGAGGAAGAAATCAGAAAGGGTTCAGAAGTTACTTGAGAAGGGTCCAATGCTCAAAGAAGAGAGGGATAGAGCTCGAAAGGTTACAAGAGGGATTCAAGGATTTGGGAGCCTGAACCACAGATGGTCTCAGGGAAGCCAGGATGGATTTGAGTATTCATCTGATTACTTTGGAAGATGCAATTCTCATTATGAGAGTTATAGCAAGAATGATGACGCAATTTCCGAGAAACTAAACCAGAATTCTCATTCTAACGCTGGAAGTGATGACCTGCAGAAAAACGTGATTTTGATAGGAGAAAGATCCATGAAAACTAATTTTGCTGAAAGTACCTATGAAAGATTAGCAGACGAAGAAGCAAATCCTGATGATGAAGAAGAGAGCAAGGGATTGCCAAATGAAGATCTGAAACAACTATTGTCAGTTAAAGATGTGGAGAGACCAAATATTGAGTTTCAGAAAGAAGAACACCACCCATTTGTCTTCAATCAGCCTCACAGAATGGAATCAATGATCCTGTTGAGCCAATCTTGAGAAATTTTAAATTTTTGGCATCTGATGGAATCAAAGAAGCTTGCACCACTTTCTCAGCGATGCAGCTATGAGAAAATCTAGGAATGAAATCATGAAGAACTGATGAGGCTATCTCACCTCTCTTTTCATTTTAGCTTTGTAGATATGCTCATGTATGACTATTGTATTCTGTTTCAGCTTTTGTTCTCTTTTGTTGTTTGTTTTCTGGATCTGAATCTTAGTGTGGCCGGAGTTTATTGGTGTTAATACTTTTTCTCCAATAGGAGTTGTGATTGGTTTAGCAGACTAATGAGATCTTTCTAAACTATACTATATCTCTAAATCATGATAAAATCAAGGAAAGAAATTTTGTAAATTATGCATTATATGGCTGGTAGTAGGTTGTTGACATAACCATAAAGAGAGATTACTATTCTGCGAGCATTATCAATTCTGATAGCAACATGCTGAGTTTATTTGGATAACACTTTGGAAACATAGGGGGGTCAAATGTAATGCATGACTTATAAAATTTTTTTTTTTATTATATAAAACTATGTTTGATATGCATTTTGTTTTTTTTGTTTGAATTTACTTTTTTTGGTTATACAAAGTATGTATTTGGTTGATGCATTATTTGGATGCCATAATGACTTTGAGGTCATTGCGAGGCATTAATTATTGATGCACCCTTTCCTCCACAACCTCATTTTCAATAACACTAATAGTTTATCCCATGTAGCGACAAAAAGCCCCCTGCACCAAGTCTTATAAGCATTATTATACAATGACCTCAGATAACAAGTACCACTGAAGAGAAAATGATGCACCCTTTGGAGAGGGGAGAAATAACAAGAAAGGAGAGGAACAAATGAATGAAGGGAAAATCATGAAACATAAGCCAAAGTCCAACCAAGAATTGTAGATTTTGAACCTCTCCACCGCTTCATAGAATCATCCTTAAACTTCTTCGTTCTTTCTTCTTTTTTGGCACCGAAGAAGAGAATCATTATAGTTTAAACTACATGGGCATTCCTCTCTTTTTTCTAGAGGAAGTCATTTGAATATGAGATATTTTGTATGTAATTGGTGTCACAACCCAACCCAATAGGATTCCTATTGTGTTGAGCTTAAACAAATGGTTAGCTAACAATCATGGGGGACTGTCAACTGAGGAATTTAATGCTTGATTTAGATTTAAATTTTGAATTGATCAATGAAGATTAATGATTGAGAGAATTTTAGTTTTACTATGATCATATAATTGGAAATCATTTTGTGATTGTCAGGTGATAGATTATAATCATATGATAGTTAGGGGTGATTCTCAAGTGATGATTTATGTATGTCAACGATCAAGGCACTATGCGAATACACAACACAAAGTTTGATTTAGAGTTTGAAGTATGGTTCAATGATTGAAGCCTAGAGATAGATTTTTTATTTAGATCATTGACCTTATCCAAAAAATGAGGCTAACAACTGTTATTATGAATTCCATTAATGAAATAAAATATTGAAGCTAACAACGTCAAACTTACAAGTAAAAGCACAAAGTTTTTTTTTTCATAAATATCCTTACAACCAAAATTTGTTTTGAGTGCGCTGCCTCTCGACCCCTATTTGTTCATCGTTATACACTTCATAGATATGTCGGGGGTCCAAGGGGACAGCGCCCTGAAACAAATTTTGGTTGTAAGGATTTTTTTGGATTCTCTTTACTATTTCTCTTTGTATTTTGTTCATCATTTCCCTAGCAATAACACATCTACATAATGTGTTTAATTATGTGGGGCAATTGACTAAAGATCATAGTATTTTAAAATTTTTAGGGGGGCAATTGCCCTCCCTGGCCTTAAGGTAGGTTTGACCATGTACATCTATACCATCTTGTAAAATGGAAATGTAAGTATGTAACCAATATGTACTTTGTATATTGTTACAAGAGTAAGTTACAATACATGTTTTATTGAATTTAGTGCATATACAAGATGAGAAAAATTTCTTCTTTGTTCATCAATCCCCAAAGTAGTACTAACATCTGGAAAGGTCAAATCATAATCCTCTTGTGGGCTCTGAAAAACATCAATATCCCATGCATGAAAACTTTGCATATTCTTTCAAGGGACAAATTGATATAGCCACATTTCATATTTTTTCAAAATTTTTTAGCTATAATATTTGAGACTTCCAAATACCACCAATCATTGATTTTATACCCTCTTTCACATCGCCACTCATGGCTGGTTGGGCTCTAAACTATAAATAGGGATAAAAAAGTTGGGCATGAACATAATGTAATTTGATACTTTGGCCTAAACTCTCTCTCCAAGAAATATAAGGATATTCAAAATTTTATCGCAAATTTACCATCTTTCTTCATTATGTGTAAGTAGTGTCTTGGTGTCATGATACTTTACTCGAACACATTAAGGTTTCGTTTGGGATGGCTTTTTTATTACTTCTTCAAGCAACTTTTTTGCATAAAAAATAAATTTTTTGTACTATAAAGTTGCTTCAAGAAGCAGTAAAAAAGCCATCCCAAACGAAGCCTAAGGCTTCATTTGGGACGACTTTCTTATTTCTTCTTAAAGCAGCTTCCTGGTACAAAAATTAAAATTTTTATACCAAAAAGCTGCTTTAAGAAGCAATAAGAAAATCATTCCAAATGTAACCTAAATCCTGATAAGAACAACTGATAAGCAAACTCATCTACATAAATGTTGGCTTGAGCTACAATAGAGGAATAATCTCTAAGCCATTGGATCACTGCAACCTTAATCATCTCCACTCATACGTAAGTAACTTGATTATAGATATTTTCTCTCAGCTGTATATATATACAATATACTCACAGTTAACATTGTAGTATAAATGAAACTATACAAATAATTCCTGTTTCTATTTCCTTGTTCTCTCTGCTTTCTTATTGCTTTTACATGTAGGTTTATCAAATCCTATGTTTAATATTACAAGTTGAATTGTTATATTCTTAATATTATGCTTTTGATTTAATATTATTTTACTAAGCTGTAAAGGTTTTGCATATGAAAATATAGTTATTATATTTTTAAAATATCACAATATTAGGGTTGATTGCATTTTAGCACATTTAGGTTTTTTACTATCATGTTTTTTTCAGTCCACAGCTATAATTTTTATTTGACAATTATTTTTTGTAGCTTTTGAAAAAATTTTATACTAGAAAGTAACTTTTTACAGCAGATTTAAAAAGTTACATTCTCTGCAATAACTTTATATATTGGTAAGAAAATTGTTGAAAACAAAACCATTAGGTTTGTTTAAGACGATTGTAATTTTTTATAAAAACAATTGTAAAACTGTTACAAAGAAGATAACTTTTCAAAAATTGCTATAGAAAGTAGCTTTTTAATAAAAATTTTTTGGAAACAGTAAACAAACATTGATCAAATAAAATCTATGATTATAATATGAAAAATAAAATGGTAAGAAAATTATTCCAAACAAAGCCTTGTGTTTCGTTTGAGACAACATTTTAACTAATTTCTAAATCAATATTTTCGTACAAAAATTTTATATTAAAAAATTATTTAAAAAAACAGTAAAAAAGTTGCCCCATACGAAGCCTTCAATCATAATATAAAAAAGATATAATTGATATTTTTTTAAAATTTTATTTGAAAGTATCAATAAAATCACTATTTGGTAAGTTTAAATAATATAGTATATATACCACAAAATAACCCCTAAAATTCAAACTTTTATTACGTCCTCTGACCGGATTGTTACTCGGTATTTGGTCGGTATTGCTAGGTATTGTTTGGTAATAATGAGGAATACCGCTATGTGAAAATCAATACCGAGCAATACCGAGTTTTCCCAAAAAATACCAAGTTTTTCTAGAAAAAACTCGGTATTTTTTGGGATTATTCGGTATTGCTCGATATTGCTCGGTATTACTTGGTATTTTGTCTTCACATAATGATATTTCTCGTTATTGTTGGTATTGCTCGGTATTTGTTCGGTATTTCTCGTTTTGTGCCTGCGGTCTTACTGCCGGCCGAATGCTGGCTTAACGTAGCTCTACGTATGTTCACCGGACCAAATAAAAGTTCCCTAAATTCACTAAATGTTACGAGTTAATCAATTAGAAATCGGGTAAATCTAGAATATCAATTATAGGGTAAATAGGATTTATATTTGCAGTTGGATTTTTCAAAATTCGTCCGGAAAATTTAATTGCACACCATAAAATAGAGTAATTGTTTCTTAAAATCTCGCTTAAACCTAAGACAACCATCCTATGCACAGAAGTACCCTGTCTACTCTGAACTGAGCAGCTTGAGGTCTCCCGCCCGATCTCCTTCCACGGTGCAGTTCGCAATCTTCCGTCGAGATCTCCACTAACGAAAGATTTCCAGTAGCTTCGCAGGTTTCAATTAGATTATCTTGATCAATTTCGATGCCTAGAAGTAGAAAGCGGGCTTCCTCAGCCGTCTGTTTCTTTTCTCGCCTTTTGCAGAGAGAACCCTATCCGCCTTCTATTTATCCAGTAATTTCCGAGCGAACGCACTCTAGGTTCGGTATTATCGGTAAGGTTGAATCATTTGTTGTTCCGTTCCAAGACAGCGACGAGGATGAGTTCGGTAGCGCTGGGATCGGTTTTCCGAGATGTTGGATTCCTTCCTAAGGTTTGCACAAAGTTTCTCTTCTTCAAATGTGTGAAATGTCGTGGTTTTTTTTTTTAATTGGCTGAGAGCTTAATATTTTGAATGGTAGAATGCTCCGAGAAATTCAGAAGGAAGGAGATTTTGGATCAAGGGATCTGCGGTTACTTCGCCGCAAGGTCTGCAGGCCGCAAACTTGAGACCGAAGAGCTCAACTAAAGCGGTTCGTGTTGGAGTTTTAGGGGCCAGTGGCTATACTGGAGCTGAGGTACGTTTCTTTTCATCTCTTTTCATCCACATAGAAGTCTTATTATTAGCGATTTGTTTTAAGCTTAGTAACCTTTTATTTTCCGGGTGAGTTGCCCTACGCCATGCATCATGATGGTAGAGTATGCTTGGTGGTTGCAGGGCACCGCGGATTCAGCGAGAAAGTAACTTTTGAAGATGAACTAGATGAACAATTACCATCTTTTGTGCATGAAAGGCAGGTTTTGTGTGTAATTTGGATTTTTTTTTTCTGTGGAGATTTCGATACGGGTCTGCTTGAGTGTTTCATTAAGTTTTGAGACTGAAAAGCCGAAAGCCATGTATAGTTTATTTGAATGATTGGCACAACTTAGACAAACATATCTGATAGAGGATCACTAAAGGGTTAGGACATGGTCATTCTTATAAATGAGTTTAGAGTAAGGTCATCAAGGATATAAGATTTCTCATAAGAGCAGGTGATGGTGTATTATGAATGATATTCTAGAAACGTGATGAATACATGACCTGCAACAATATCATCAACTTTGCATTAAGGTCAACGTTTGATACACACGGTTAGGGTTTTTTTTGCTTTTAATGCATCGTTATCAATGATGGATACCTACAGAAATATTAGAATTGAGAGCTTGTTTCATAAAACAATGTAGAACATTTTTGGAAGTTAAGGGGAATATAGTAAATTGAAAAAGATGCATTTTTTTTTTATGCAAAATAAAGGATAAATACGAAATGATTCCCTGTTCCAGAAATGCTTGTAATATTGTTACTGTAGCATGGAAATGTAAACAGTAGAATAAGGCTCATGGACAAGATGTGGATTAGGTGGACATGACATTCTATATTCTGATTAAGAAAATGAATCAAATGATAATTTATTGCAATAAGATTATTGAACCTATTATGCAGTAAAGGAATGGTTGAAATGCAATAAAGCGGTGTAGGGGACATAATCTTCTATTTTGCTTATATTGCATGTATTTTCCATTATTCTTTGCCATTTTTGTTTAATGTATCAGAAGCTCAAGATTCAAATGCAAATTGCACTTAACTTCGCCTCATACCCGTGGCCTAAATGCAGAAGGCAATGTTAATAATCTTATTCATTTGTATTATACAATCAGTGCATGATTTGAAGGACCGACATATATAGAAATTTAACAAAAAAAATAAAAGAAGTTCCAATATTGTGCGTCATGGTTTTAATTAAATAAGCTCTAAAATATTCAAAATAAAATACAAGGTGAAAGTCATAATGGATCTGATATGAGTGTATCACATAAGAGGCTATATTATTTCTTTAACGGATGTTTTATTTACATTAAAGTTATTGGTTGATGGAGAAGGCACCTGATACCAAATTGATGTTGATTGATGATTTGATCCAAAATGGTATAGAGACTTTGCAGCAAAACGAGCTGCAAAATTTTGAGAGAAAGATGAAGGAACTCTATGTACGCAATTTAAAGAGGGAAGAAAGAAGAACACAATTTGGAGTGATTTGTAAAAGAGACCATCAATTTTTATATATAGTTATAATCTACTATTACATGAACCATTTGACCTCTATTTATAATAGAATATCCGACACGAAAAGATCATTAGTCAAAGTTATCCTTTACAATTAACAAATGATCATATTTCCTTTAAACTAAAAATGATAAATAAACTACAAAAACAGGAATGCAATGATACTCCTACTAAATACTAAGAATACATAATTGTTATTTTTCTCACATAAATGATTACATAGGGAAGGAAGGTATATGACAATGTATAAGAGGGGTGATCTAATTTATGTAAAAACTACTATGAACAACTGTGTTTAGGGAAACTAGGATGAATCTTTAACTATTATGTTTAAAAGTTACAATTGGTGGTTTGTAGATTTTTCTTTTGAAATGGGATCACTAGGGATGCAGATGAATTTTATTGGAAAAGTTTTTGCCTGTAAGTGTCTTGGTTAGGATTGAGCCAACTAGAAGAAAACAGATGTTCAGGCCAATCTAAGCAGTCTATAACTATAACTATATATATATATATATATATATATGCATGGATTGCTTATACTTCGTTTAGGTGGTTGGTGGTTGACTGACTTTGAGAGAGATTCTTTATTTTTTGACAAGTCTGGCCAGATTTGTGCCTACTATAGTAAAGGTCAGGTCTATGTCAGGCTGTCTCACACATCGATCTGTTTTGGATTCCTTGTTATGATATATAACTAAGAATGTAAGCAGCTATGATTGTGTTAGTTCATTTGGATTGCTTCCTTGTGATCCTATTATTTATTAAATTTCTATTTCTTTACGTTATTTTAAAGTGCAGATATACAATTTTTATTGTATTTTTCATCTTAGACAAACTGCTCATATTATATAGTTTTGAATTTCGTTTATTTTATGTTATTTCTCTAATTACTTTAGGCATTTTATTTTTTGCTATTGATCTAGTTTTATCTTACAGATAGTCCGTCTTCTAGCAAACCATCCTCAATTTTGTATTACGCTGATGACTGCTGATAGGAAAGCTGGTCAGTCATTTGGATCAGTATTTCCTCACTTGATAACTCAAGTAAAGTTCCTCGTGTGTGTTTTTTTTTTTTTCCTTGTTTTTGTATGCTTAGTGCATTGTTGTTATCCTAGTGTTGTATGCCAATTATGTAAGGTGGTTTTGCATTAATATCAACCTATGATGCATGGACACAGACACGACGACATGAACACGACTTTTTTTGAAATATAGAACACAGGATGGCGCAGACACGACATTACATTTTTTTATATAGTGTATAAATATTAATGTAACATCATATTAGAAATGGCAAACAATAATAAATAAATGACATGATAACTTATCTAGCTTATAATATAAAATGTTAAGTACAAAATATTTAGTATAACCACAAAAATATAAGCAAATAATCATTTACTACAACATCAAGCATTCAAGCTTCAACTACTAGGATTAGCTTCAAAGGTTTGTTTTTGGCCTTCAATATTATAATCATTGAATATCATTGCTTCCAACTATGATTCATCAAGAGAAATATTTTCAATAGTTGCAATAGTTCATTGGATATCATATAATGAAAGTTGGTTCTTCTTTCTATCTATTTACTTTTCTAGCTAGTTCTCTCCTATAATATTTCTTTAACCTCTAATCTAAATCACAAAGAATATATCTATTTACTTCTATACTTCTGTAGTTCTCTAGTTTTCTTCCATAATAGTTCATTAGATTTCATATATTAATCTTAAATCTTTTATATTCTAAATATTTTATTTATCATTCTAATTTTTCACCTATTTCAACAAATACCATCAACTAGAATTACAATAAGGCATGCACATCTTCTAGACATAATTATAAAATGATTAGAAGAAATTTCGTTCACAAAATGCTCATTGTTTATTGATATTCTTTTAAGCTCTAGCTTTTTGTTGTCAACTTATATAACAAACAAATTTGTGAGATTGTTTCTTCATTCCCTTTGTAAATTTCTACTCGAATCAATGGTAGTTGCTTTAAGGGCTATTTGGTTTGAAGTAAAATGTGTATAAAGTATTCTAGATATTAGAGTTTTGAAAATATTGATGTTTGATTTGAAGTAAAAGAAATGCAGAGTAAAATTTTGAAATATTTGAAATTTATCCTCTAGTTCAATGCTGGTGCTTCTTAAAATTATTAGATTTGTCGAGTTTTAAATACACTGTAAAGTAAATTGTCTGTTGTTGCTGCTGTGGCCACAACCACCGCTTGTCGCTTGCCATCGTCACTGACCGCCCGCCACTGGCTGCCTGCTGCCATTCGCAATCGTCCATCTCCATAATCAGTCTCCGCCGCTCTATGCCTCTGCTGATTGCTGCCCACCGCCATCACAATCGGCTATCATTGTTGGATAGTGTCTTCATCGTCACCATCGACCACCACCATCGTTTGGCTTTACACTATATTCATTTTATGTTAAGCTGAACAAAAATAAGCAATTACTTGCATTTATTTTATACTTATCCAAAAAACTTCAAAATATTTTCAATACATTGTAATTTTTTGTACCATTCTTCAGCAAATCAAACGGCCCCTTTTTTATATAATCCTGTTATTTTATGAAGACTTCTTTTAAATCATAATGTGATTTTCCACCAAAGTTTGCATTGTATGGATTGTGAAGCATTATTCACTTGAGGTGGCTTGTTGCGAAACCTTCTAAAAATCTATTTGTATAGTGGTGGAATAAGAAAATTTTTAAAGTGGGGCCACCAAAATAGATTTTTCAAATATTTTCTCTTTTTTTATTCATGTTTGAGACTAGCATTAACAGTTTTATAATATGTTTTATTTAAACTTGTTATTTTAAAGAGATAAATATAAGATAATAAAAACTTATAATTTATAAAGCTTATTCTTCATATTAAAAAAGAGATGAATAATTACTTTATTATCAATATAATCAAATATTTTTTTCTCAATATAAATGATTAAAATACCACTCATCAATTAATCTTTGATTCTATTTGCAGTCTATTTTTTATAATAGTCATAGGTTAAAATGCTCTCTAAACTTATATCTCATTAATTGATCTTAAAACAAATTCTTAAATTTTTAATTTAGAATAAAAATATTTATTACATGAATTGAGCACTCATCAATTAATCTCTGATTTTATTTGCAATAGATTTTTTATAATAGTCAGTTGAAAATGCTCTGTAAGCTTATATCACATGAATTGATTGATCTTAAAACAAATTCTAAAATTTTTAATTGAGAATAAACATATTTATCACATGAATTAATCACTCATCAATTAATCTTTAATTCTATTTGAGTCAATTTTTTATATTAGTCATTGTTGAAAATGCTCTCTAAGCTTATAAGAATTGATCTTAAAATCAAATTCTAAAATTTTTAATTTATCATGATAAAGTTTTAATTATAATATCTAATTATAATTTATTTTCATATAAAAATCAGAGTGATGAATAAAAGAATAAAGGTAATTAATTATAATTTTATTTTAATAAAAATTTAATAATAATATAAAAAATAAAAATAAAAATGCTTATAAATTTTTTTTTTCTTGGGAAGGGGAGGCCTATGGGGGCACAAGCCATCCTTAGCTCCCCCATATCTATATATTTTATTTTTGGTAACTTGAACATGCCCCCTCCTTAGCTCCGCCATGTCTATATCATATATTTGGTAACTTGAATCACACGATTGGAGCTAGACTTGGGTAACAGTTTAGTTGTGTTAATATCTACTTTATGTTCTTAAACACGTGCTTGGGTGGTAGGTTTTTGCTTTTAAATGTTTTACTATTCCTAAGTTAAAGTGATTTTTTTAATTTTGATAATTTCTGATCTAATGATAATTGGTCTACTTTTTATAGGATTTGCCTGAGATGGTTGCCGTAAAAGATGCAGATTTTTCTAATGTTGATGCTGTATTTTGTTGTTTGCCGCATGGAACAACGCAGGTGTTCCATTTTTTACATTGTTAATGCGTCTTTGATCTTGCAAGCTGTTACATCATCTTATTAGATTATATCACATCATGTCTGTCTTTGGTGTACGTAACTTCAGATGGTTGCTTTTATAGGAGATTATAAAAGGCCTACCTAACGGGCTAAAGATTGTTGATCTGTCTGCTGTATGATTCGGGCATTCCTATTCCTTAAGCTAAGCATTTGGATGTCACTTATTTTCTTTGTTGATATGCTGAATTACGGTTGTAATGGAATTGTACTTTCAGGATTTTCGGTTACGAAACCTTGGTGAATATGAAGAATGGTATGGCCAGCCTCATAAAGCTCCAGAGTTGCAGGTAAATACATCAAATTTAGACTTACCTCATACTTTTTGAATGAAAAGGATAGCCAACTTTTCCACTAGGTCTACTCCGTAGTTTTATTTTAGTTAGCTTCTCTAGGTTACTTAGAAAGAGGATCCAGTTCATTAAATGAACAATGATTTAATGAAAAATAATTTTTGTACCACATTGCTACTGACAAGTGAAAACTGCGCATCACCAGTGCCACCGCAAGAGAGTTTTACTTGATTTTTTTATTTTGTGGGTTTGCTTTTTCCATATAAACCACATTGACAATATGGTGGGAACCTCATTTCAAGGAGGTGAGTTTCTTCCTTTATTTCTCATGACCAAGCTGATTCTGACAAGTTAAAACTGCTAATCACCAATGTCTGTTCAAGAGATTATTACATGGTTACTTTTATTTTTTATTTTTATTTTCATATTTTTTCTTTTATCAGGTAAAACACATTGGTAATATGGTGTGCGAAACTTGTTTCAAGTTGCAATGACTTTTTAGTTCTGTCAAGTGTGTCTAGATTTTAGGATAACGTAATCCAGGCATCTTCTGCATTATAAATTTTGATATTTGTCTTCTTCTTAAGTTACGCGTGTTGAAAGTAGCATAATTTATGTACTTAAGCCATATTAGATTTTCTGTTTATTTTTTATTTATTAAATGTTTCTGTATTCTTAACTTCTCCTTGCAATATCGCCTGGCGTTTATTTTACCCACAAGCTTCTATTATAGCTATCGTTTATTTGAAAAATAGTTAATATTTCACTGGTTTGGCATCTGTTAATCTGGATGACTCGCCACATGCTATGTGAATTCTTGCTAATGTAGGCCTGGATCAGAATCTAAACTGACGCCCTCTTAAATTCTTGATATAAGGCAAACCTAACTGCCTGTTAAGCCGAAATTCTTCTCTATTTTTGAAGGAAAAAAGAATTTGTTAACTGCAAAGAGAATATAATGTAGCGATAAATGAACGAGTGTTGCTGCAAGTGCACTCACACTATTTCTCTTATCCTTGCTTTCTTGCTCTCTTCTCTTCACTTCTCTTTGATTTCTTTGTTGATCACGCGGAACAGTTCTAATACTCAATTTGTGAATCCTTGCACTTTTATTTGTTAGCTCCTTTTTTGTTCATTTGTCAAGCTGAAGTTATTGATCTCTTAATTTAGTCAGGGAAACATATTTTATTTTTTAACTTTTAAAACTATAAACCATGAATAATCATAATACGTTCCCTTTAAAATATTATAATTAACTAACCATATTTGTTGTCCATTCATAGCTCCAAGATTCATGCATCCACATTCTTGTTGCTACAATGGCTTTCCAAAGCAATGGTACATCCAAATCTCAACCAATAGATCCCTTCGAAATGCATGAATTACCTTCCACGATTCCATATTATCATAAAATCAAGCACATATTTTGTGGTGTCAACAAAGATCTGACCATTTATCTTAATTTATACCAAACACTATTCTTTGAGCCATCTTATGACCCGATTTTAATCATTGGGCATATAAATCTTATAGTCTAAGGGTTTCATCCATTTGCCTCTCATTCACAGGGACAAAATAGTCTAGAACGGATCTTAATGACAAGGTGTCCATTTCTCAATTCTTCTATTAGCTCTAGAACCAAAATACTCAACCTAGGATAATTTTCATCTAACACAAATCTTGGTGATGAACTATCTCGTTCATTCATTGTTCATCTCCACAAAAGTATTGAACTGTCCTTCACCCTCAACTCAATAAATAAACCATATTAATGTAAGGCAAAGGACTAATGTCAAGCCTTGTCAACTTTCTTCATCTACTTAAGCACTTTCCATGAAAGAATAGTCAACCTGGTTGACTTCCAAATATCCGGCAAACACTCTTCTGTTGGGCTAGGAAAGCATTCTCGCATCAGACTATCAGTGCAAGAACCCCTCACCCTTCCTATACAATCCCAGAGCTAGAAGGTGACACAACCTACAACTTCTTCTTCACCCTATGGGATGAGCTATAACTTTCTCCATATTAGTAGTCTCAATAGCTCTTCAATCATAAAGCTATTCAATATCTTGATATTTGACATAAAAAATATCATTGTCAAAGAGAGACATTTTTTTTTCAACCGGCATCATTGATACAATATCTTCAACTCAAAGTAGAGCATGCCTATGTAGAATTATGGATTCGTAGATTACTTTTAATAAAAGTGTTTTTATCAACAAAGAAGAGAAAAATGCCTTTTGGATACTCTGTTCGGGACTTTGTTAATCCAGTGTCATTGTTCATCAAAATTGAACAGAAGAATTCAAAGCTTGCCAATCCTCACTCCCGAAGGAAACCAGTTGCAAAGAGTTCGATGTTATATCCATAAAATTACAACATTGACACCCTTCATTAGGTGTAGAAGAGAATTTTAGAATGCACAATATCCTCCAACAAAAACCCTTCACAATCAATGTGAAGAGAAAGGGAAGATAATTACCAAGAGATGAACTTTAGAACAAGAAAAGAAAAGAGAATAAAAATGGCAAAATCCTTTGAGGGCTCAAAGATCTCTTAATATGAGCCAAGAAAGCAATGTCAAGATGATGCTCGCTACCTAAAGGACCCAATCTAATCTTCATTGAGCAACAGATAAAAACTATGTGGTTGCATAATTTCTGCATAGTTGGTAGCAGCTAGTTGTTGACTGTATGGTGCAATAGCTTAGTGGTTGCCAAAGCAACAACTGTTGGTAATAACACAACTAGCTAGTGTAGCAACCAACTAACCCACAACCAACTATAGAATGGCTCATCATTTTTGTTGAATGTTTATGCAGATGCTTTTGCATGTGTGGGTCTTATCATCAACATTCGTTATTTTTTTCTCTGTAAAAAGGATCATAAATGGGCATAATTCATGTGAGTATAAAGGCCAAAAGGACAAGAGGGTTTCATTCACATAAGTCAAATGAGCCAAACTTAAAACTTGTCCTGCTCAATTTGATTTAAAAATGGACGACTCTACAATACAACTTCAGAATCAACTTCCCACAAACAAGAACAAATCTAAGTGACATTGCCCAAGCATTATTCATCGAACCTTCATATTTGCAGTGTTTGCTCGTAATATTTAATCCATAACTTCAAGTCCATGTTTACAATTTTGGTTCTTTCTGAGAAACGAATATTAGAACTTGTTACATTGGTTGTTCCATATTTCTTTATTTTAATTTAACCTTTTTATTAATTTCTTATTAAGAGTGGTATTTCTGTAATATTATTTTTAAACCTTATCATGGTGGTGTGTTAACCCTAGAGAATAACATTCTCTTTTATACTTGATATCATCTTCTTTATATTTCTCCATTTTCTTCTTCCTCTGTTCAATCTTGGCCGGAGGATTTCTTCCTGGTTCCGTCCAAGAACCCTAAAAGAAAGTAATCTCGGAGGTTGCATCTCCTGTTAAAAGCTTAAGGCATAACTATGTTGACTAATAAAAAAAGAAACATAAATTGAAAACAATTGAACAGACACACTGCTTCATAAAATAGGTTTTAATCGAATAAGAGCACGGTTTCAGGAACAATGCCTCCATTCGATACAATACATTTACTCGATCAATAAATGCATGAAGAAAAATTGAAAACTTGCGCTCTTGCTGTTCGAAGTTTCGATCTGATACTCTTGCGCACTCTACCTGCCATCAAAACCTCTCGCTCCGATCAAACATCCGAATCCCGTTGCCTCACGGCGGCTTCGATTGTCTAAACAATCCAGGCTCCCGTAACCCAATCGGACGTCCGCCTCCCTTGACTGGATCCTGCGTGGATCACCTGCTTGTGAAAACACCCGCAAATCCGCGGTCTCCTTGCATAGGGCCAGCCTGATTCACGTGCCACCTTGCTTGTTCAGACCGCGCTTAGCCCGCCGTCTAAGCCAACGTCAACCACTGCTGAAGCCCACACTACACATTTGCCTTCTACCGCCTCGAACGCAAGGCCGGTTTTGTTAGTCCCTCTGCTTGCTTATGAGACCGAATACTCCCTCCTGTCCTTGCTCAACAGAGTCCCGTGCCTCTCTTGTGAACACCCAAACCCTATTTGCACACTCTGTGCGATCCGCCTCCAATCTGCTCGAACGAGACTCCCGCACGATCAAGCTTCCGTCCCGTTCCCTGCTACATGCTATAATTTCTCTCCAGTCAAACACATGCGCAAATAGTTTTGCAACAGGATGTGTATCTGTCGCCTATGATTGCTGCCTCCTCTATTTTTATAGAAGCTTGATCTACGAAAGGGAAATCAAAGCCTATTGTAGGGCTCGAAGGGAACATGACGGAAGCCTGATCGTGCGGGAGTCTCCTTCGAGCGTACTGGAGGCGGATCACACAGAGTGTACGAACTGGGCTTGGGTGTTCACAAAAGAGGCATGGGACTCTGTTGTGTGTGGACTGGAGGGAGTATTTGGTCCCATACGCAAGCAGAGGGACTGATGGAGCGAGCCTTGAGTTCGGGCCATAAAAAGGTGAAGGTGTTGTGTGGGTTTCAGTGGTTGACGCAGGCTCAGATGGCGGGCTAAGCGCGGTAAGAACGAGCAAGACGGCACAAGAATCGGCTTGGTCCTGTGCAAGGAGATGCACAGACGTGCGGGTCTTTCCACGAGCAGGTGATTCACACAAGTTCTGGGTTCGTGAGTCGAGAGAGGCGGACGTCCGGTTGGGGTTCGGGAGCCTGGATTGTTCAGACAATCGAAACCGTCGTGAGGCAATTGGATTCAATTGTTTGATCGGAGCGGGAGGTTTTGATCGACACGTGAGTGTGCGAGAGTAGCAGTTCAAAACTTCGAACATCAAGAGCATGAGTTTTCAATTTTTCTTCGTGTATTTATTGATTGAGTGAATGTGTTATGTCAAATGGAGGTGTCGTTTTTGAAACAATGCTCTTATTCGATTGAAGCCTATTTTCTGATGCAGTGTGCCTGTTCAATTATTTTGAATATCTGTTTCTTTTTTTA